TGCTTAAAATAAAACTGCCAGTGGTATAAGAACTATAATTTATTTCAGATAAAGTCTCTGAGATGACCTTTTGATGTAATGCTAAATTTCTCAAAATCTGTTCTGATGAAGAAACAAACTCATCTACATCTTGGATGTCCTGAGGGTGAGGACATTTTTAGCAAATTATCATTTTTGGTGAACTGTTCCTTTAATTTCTTACACAATTTTGCTTAATTATTTTGTAAGAATGTTTAGTTATTTTTTACAGAAAACCAGTGACAAAACTATTGTTTAAGAACATTTTGCAGTGCATATGAGGAAGGGAAGGTTACAAAAATCATTAATTTTGTAAAACAATATACCAAAACGGCATTCTGAAAAGTTTCTCTAAACCAGATGTCCAGGTCTCACCCTGATGAATTTGAGAGAGATTTAGGATGCAAATATAAATTGTGTTTAATCTGGACGTTTTGCCTTAATTCTGTTATTGTGTAGATGAATCACTGTGCAAAAATAGAAATACTATCAATAAAACATTGCGTAAGCCATGAGGAAAACCCCCACAATAACCATGATTTACATTGATCTTCTTTAATCTTTCACTAAAGCTTTCCTTTACTCAGCACGGGAACAGCATCTCAGTTTGTGGGGTTAACTTCCTCCACTGAGTACTGGGATGCGTTTCTAAATTCAAAAAACAGAAAAAATGATTCAGAGTTCTGAATATGCATTAGACTTTGTTATGATGTTCTTTCTCTGAGCATGAATCGAGTTGGGGAATAAGGGCACAGTATAATATATAAAGGATTGTGTTACTCCCTTGTAGGTATAATTACCATATTCACATGCAATATTGCTGATATACTCTGACTGTGTTTGGGCAGGTAAATTAAATATAAATCGAAGACGTGTACGCTTACAATGGGCTCTCGTCTTCCTTCCCAATTGTGGTCCTTCCATCCATAGCTTCAACCCACATTCCTCTCTCTTATCTTTTCTCTTCATACTCTCGATTCTGTCTGCCTGTCTAATATAGACAAATTTGCAAGACTGTAGACATTGATCAGTACCGTTTGATCAAATCTCAAAATCTTTCTTTTCTACTACAGGCCTGTTGTTCTGACGTTACTGTCGCTAAAAAAAAAATCTGCATGAAGATGAAAATCTCATCTAGAACCGCTGTCACTTTTGATTTCACTGCTCAAGCATTAATAATAATGCTTGATTTTAAAATAGATGGAAGGTAATACACACACACCCTTTTCTAGTTCTCTCTCCTGCACTCTTTTTAGAGACATTTTACTGCACTCCTGCTATTCTTAGACGATAGACCATTTCTACAGAGAAAATCTGGCTGTGCACATTACAGTTATGTTTTAATTGACTTTTTTTTTTATTATTTCCACTGTATATTTTTATTATTATTATTTCCATAGTATACATACTATGATGTATTAAATATTGAAATAAAAGATAAGAAATAAGCTACCAAAGTAACATTGTCTAGGTGTTGTAATTAGTTGCAAATTAATAAATGCACTTATATATATACTAACTAATCACTTTTATATAATATAATTTTATATGTGTGTGTATATATATATATATATATATATATATGTATATATGTATGTACATACATATACATACATATATATATGTATATGTATATACATACATACATACATACATATATATGTATATACATATATATATATATATATATATATACACACACACAAACACACAAATACTGTACATACAGGACTATTTAAAAGTTTGGAGTCAGTAAGATTTTTAAAATGTTTTTGAAAGAAGTATTTTATGCTTACCAAGTCTCATTTTATTTGATCGGAAATACAGTAAAATAGTAATATTATGAAATATTATTACAATTGAAAATAACTGTTTTCTATTCTATTATGTTAAAATGTAATTTATTCCTGTGATGCAAAGCTGAATTTTCAGCATCATTACTCAATCTTCAGTGTCACCTGATCCTTCAGAAATCATCGTAATATGCAGATATGGAATTTTTTTTTTATTATGAATGTTTACAACAGTTGCGCTAATTAATTTTTTTTGTGGAAACCATGATACTTTTTTTCTATTTTTTGATGAATAGAAATAAATAGAAAATGCATATGTTATTTGAAATAATTTGTAACATTTTAAATGACTTCACTGTCTCTTTTTGTCAATTTAATGCATCCTTGCTGATTAAAAATATAATAATAAAAAAAGAAGTAAATAAAAATACTGACTTACTGACCCCAAGCTTTTCAACAGTAGTGTATATATTATACATAGTTACATTTTAAATAAATACATATCATATTTTTTATGGTGGTGCCAGTGAATGTGAAGTAAAAATAGGGTCCTACTTTATATTAAGTTGCCTTAACTACTATTTACTTACATTTTAATTAATCATGCACTTTACATGTTTTTACATTGTACTTATATTTTAAATCTACCTGGATGTTAATTTATAATTACACTGTTGACCCATCCCTTACACCTTACCCCCACACTTAAACCTACCCATACCACCAAACCTGTCCATAACCTTATCCGTATCCCACCTGAACAGCAGCAAGTGTTTTGCAATACAATATGAACACAGTAAGTACATTGTACTTATTTTCTGATGTAAGTACATAGTAGTTAAGGCCATTTAATATAAAGTGGGACCAAAAATTGTATCTAGCAGAAGAAAAAAAAATCTTATTTTTCGACCCTGCCTTCTGATGGGGTGGAAATATGGAGGGATATACAGATAAACAGACGAATGGATGGACATTAAATCAAATAAACCCTGTTCATCAGAGACAGAAAAGGAGGAAGTCTCTCTTAATGTGCACAGCCATAAAAAACTGCTTTTAATAGATAAATACATACTAGAAGGCATAAAGGAAGACCACAGCGGAGTATTCAGCTGTATGTCAGGAAGTTATTTTCTTTGCTCTGGTCAGCAGATGCTCAGATCGGTCTGGATACACTACATCAAGAGCCCTGGAGGCTTGTACTGTACGACGGTCACCATGGAGATGATTGACAGCAGGAGGCATTTCAAAGCTTCACTGCAACCACACAAGCTCCGGCTCGACCTAAACACAACGGCGCCACCTAGAACAAAAACACAAATC